AACTTTCTTCCCTCAAGATATATCTCTATAGAACTATTCACTTCAACAACTAAATAGAACTCTGTGGCAGCATAGTGGTTCCGTTCTTTCAAAAAAAAACTCGTATCCTTTCTTTGCGATAGCGTTATCACATGACTGGTCATTCTCTTACGAAATTCGTCAGCTGTAACATACAGACATCATCCACTCAGCCAGCAAATGATATTACAATCGTTGACCCTTTCTACACTAATGTGCAAAACTGCTGCAATATCCCTGTGGGTAGAGTAAATACTGTCTGCTATAGAGAACTATAAAAAACACAAAGTATAGTTTGAACAGTTTTATGGATCACAAATTTATGCCAAAACTGCATAGAAACAGATGAAACACAATTTTTAGAAATTCCTATGTTAATAAAGATGGTGGAAAACACATGATACGCTCGCATATCACAATTCTTGTGTATAGAAATGAAGTTAATGCAGCATAATTCGTATGGTTCCTTTCAAATAATATGAGGAAATTATATAAAAAATACAAAATATTACATTTATTGCCATTTTTGTCTTCACCTTTGCCATTATTAAACGATCATTTTATCTCTAGGTATTCACATGTTTTCTCTTGCTATAAATTTTTAACATCCTATCTGATGATAAGCTTGATAACCTGTGGTTAAATAAAAACACAGCTTTATTACTTGGTGGAAAAAAATATTACGTTTATGTCATATTATTAAAAACTACTCATGTAAAAATGAGACACTGAAGGAAGTTTAGTGTTACGCTTCTTCGGTTATCCGTTTTGTTAAATTGCAACCATTAACCCAACCTATCAAACATCTGTAGGTAAATGTTTAACAATATTTTATTAATTAGTAAAACCAACCTACCAGACATCCTCAACAGAAGTACTCGCGTAAGTCATTATTTTATTAAATCAAAGCAATAAACTTTTCAAGTTAACATTTGCCCGTGTTATTTTAACAGGTAATTCAAGAGTGATTATGATGTCAGACAAATCGAATTATCTTGTTTTGTGGGAATTCAGATTTGTTATTGTGAAAAAAAAGTCATGGTGGACATTAATAGGATTAGCTTTTGTATAATAGTTACAACATTAAAGTAAAATAATGTAGCGTGTTACCTTCTATGTGGATGTTTAAAATGTTTAATTCCATGTTGGATCACCTATATGATATTTTGATGGACACGAAACACGTGAATTTATTTGTTTGATTTTTGTTTAATTTCGTCGCAACGCTATTCGAGGACTATCTGCCCTAATTTAGAAATGATCAACTAGAGAAAAGTCAACAGTTAACACAACTCACCGCCAACTCTTTGGCTACTCTCTACCAACAAATAACAGAATTAGTTGTCACATTATAATGCTCCTACAGCTGAAAGGGCGAACATGTTGGGTGATGAGATTCGAGCTCGTGACTCTCAGATCGTTAGTTGAGAGTCCTAAGCATCAAGCCATGCAAGCCAA